TTGCACGTGGTGGGAAAGGCCCAGTTTTCTCGCAGTTTTCCCCTAAACAGGGGAGATGCTGGGAGGCTGCCGAAATTTCGGATGAAATATTACTACACTTGGACCTATTTTGAACTCAAAAGAACAAGAGCTTGGACTCAAATGAGAGAGGACAGTAGACTTTTGAACTTGATTGAAAAACGTGCAGAAGACCTGAACAAAATTTAAATGATGAATAAAGACCAAATTCAAATGAAACAAAATCAAATTGGAACCAAACTTTAAGTCAAATTAAGTATTCAATTGAAATCAAAAGATCTCAAAAGACTTTAAGTAATCATTTGAATATACACTCGTGCTCAAATTCAAACTTTCTAAGTGTTGATGACACTAAAACTAAATAAGACTCAGACTACGGGGGACATAGAACTGAGCTTGCACATTAAGCTCATGAACCTGATTTAAATGAATCCTGAAGAGACTTGGACTTGAGCATGGCTTGAGAATCATTTCTCCCTCACATTCGACGCTAGTCAAAAATACCACCTGAGATTGGTGATAGGTGGGCATGATGTAGGCAACAATGGGTCTCCTACGAATAGTTCCAGCAGCTCGTAGTGTCTACAATGGGTTCCCTTAAATATGTACAAGTCGCTTGTGGATAACAACAGTGTGTATGTCGTATGCACAAAAAACCACTGTGGGAACAAGTACAAGCATCACCTATGATATTGGTGATCAAAGTGCTATCAGTATATCGGGTACAAAGGCAGCCCGAGGTACAAAAAAGGGTACCCCCTGACAGAAGGGAGGAAATGTTTGAACAAATTAGAACCAAACTTCCTGGTGTTCCAAAGTCTCTTCTTAGTTCTTTACTTGAGAAGAAAATAGTTCTGGTATCCAAAGACACTGGAAAATAACGATTCCGCTACACCGAAGATCCTAAAAGGAGTTCTTTCCAAATCAGCAGTCATTGATTCCAAATTTCAAGAAAATCCCATCCCTGGTGATTGAGAAAGGGGAGACAATAACAAGATGAGGAGATGCCTCATAACATCAAGATCATAATGCCACCAAATCCGTAATATTCATAGTAGCGGACATAAGGCATATATAAGCTCTCAAATGAGAAGTTATGTGCATCCAAACAACAGTTACATGCACAACTATAATTATTTCAAAATACCCCTGCACGTGTACCATAAATTGTATACACATGGGTATACTAAAGAGGTATATAAAAATCACCCGCATGGGCCCCGACGAGTGTGTTATTGGTACACACGTGACGCTAAGGATGCTGCGCGGACTGACAAGTGAATTCAAGTTCGAAACCGATCCTTCTATACGGGTCAATATAAGTCGACAGGGTTCGAACCAACAAATAAATATACGGTTGTGGTGACCGTTATATTTGTCTTAATATATTATTATTAGGCATACAAGGCCTATGACAATGAGAATTCACTATCAAGGACATAAAACCTATGAAACCTGGTCCCATATCATCAAGATGATAGGGTTGACAGGGTTCAATCAACAAATGGAAATGACCCCAAATACCCCGATGATGGTCGTGTTGAATGATGATCCCAACCGGAGGGGTTCACAAATATTTTTCAAATGCCTTCCAAGCTTCACCCAAAAATTCAAAATCCCAAAGTTTAAGATATTTAAATTTGAAATTCAACTATCAAACACTTAAAGCAAACTCCATCCACCCTCCGCAATAGTTTGCCGGGGTGGACAAATTCAAATAAACTCTACCTCACAAAGAGCCAAATGTCTAGTCAAAAATATCACTATAATCCATTCTCAAACAATTTCTTGCCAGTAAGGACATGGTACGTGTCCTCGAACCGACAGTTTCGCCGCCAAATGGCACTACAGGTAAAGGGTTATGACCCAGGGCTCTCTGAACCGAGTGGTTTTACCGCCAAATGGCACCACAAAATACCGGTTATGGCCAGCGCCGATACGCTCCTTATTGGCATCAAATCCTTGAGATATGAATCAATAGGATATGATCGATAGGGCACAAAGCCCTATGTAAGCTATGGTTGATTCAAATTTGTCCCCTTAGGAAAATACCCATCACAGTTCTACAAGGTCCCCTTGGACGAAGGAACCCATAGCTGCCGACAAGGATCCTTTTGTCAGGTTGGGTCGACTACCTCCTTTGACTAAGTAGACCAGGGACCACGATCGCCCGGGACGACAGAACCATGGGATCTTGATCGGGTCCATCATCCATTCCCCCACCATCCGCTTTAAGTGCAAGATGATGAAATTTCTATTTTAAATATGAAATCTCCAAATCTTCCAATACTCCGAATTCTCAAATTCTCCAAATTTCCAAATCCAAATCCATGCTGCTACTATATGCCAGATAACATGTATTTCTACGTATCTAATTGATGACTAGCCTTGATCGAAAGTTCTCTCTCGTGATCGAGAGGGGTAATTAAGTATAGGGGCTTGCGCCTATAAGAAACCAGAACTCAGATCATAAAGTCCTCGCAAAATGAGGGTGAAATCTATGGGTATTGTCTTATCTACAAACCCATATGCCTTCCAAAATTTACCCCGGAACTTATTCCGTTAAAACTCTCTCGCCGAATAAAAAAAGAAAAAAACGGGCGGAGGCCGGTGCCGAATTTTCGGATCCCACATCATGAAACTAACTATCAAATTCCAGTGGCTAACATATGTCTCATGTTAGTTATTTGAAGCCTTTATATAATAGACAATGGGGAACATCAAATTTTGAAATGATATGAAGTAGTTGATTTTTTAATTCTTCTTATAAGAAGGGTGATTGAGCAATCGAGATGATAGGTGTCAGATGCCAGTGACTGTAGAGATAGCACAACTTTCATTTGTTAACATCAAATGAGGGTTAATAAGAAATGTTGAATGTTAAGCAATACTGAGTGCTCGCATCATTATCTTAATGATAAGGATGATCGGATTCCTAAAATAATGAGCATCAATTGATGGTCAATGTAGACAATGGAAAGTAAGTCGTTGGTAGATACATGCTTTACCAGTCTCCTCACAAGATGGGAAATGGTACAACTTGTAAGATAAGAAGAAGGATATATGGCATCAATTGTTAGTAGGCGATAGGAAAGTAAAATAAAGAACATAAAAAGTTTGATGGTGGGTATGCAGTTAAGTCATTCTCTTGATTAGAGAGGGAACTAGGCAACTAAGAAGATTAATATTTTGTGTTGGTGGTTAGAGAACATTGGACATTACTATTAGAGGGCATTAGGTGATAGTCGATAAGGAATATGAAAATTCAATGACTAAGCCAAATGCCGGCTTAGTTATTCTCTTAATAAGGGGGGAGAAGGAGACATAGAAGATGGACTTAATATGTTATTGCATGACGGACATCAATCAACAATCACTGACAGACGTCAACTGATTGTTGAGACAATGGATGCTAGAAGTTGAGAGATGGCTGATTGTTAGCTCAACCTATGGTCATATATCTGAATTCATTGTGAAGCTCAGTTTTCTTTGTACACAAAATTCTTCTTTAATATGTGAAAACGAAGCATTATCCATAATACCGGAATATTAGAATTGGACACCGTTGATCACTTTACAGTTTCCCACTTCATAACATAAGTTAATGTGGAGAGCCGCAACCTCTTGGTCTTTTTTTTTTACTGTCAAACCAATAATCATACTATGCTGAGACGACCTTTCATATTTGGAAGGAGCACAAAGATGTTAGCCATTATAGCATTTTCAGCAATGAGTTTGTACGTTTGAAATGAACGCAACCAACGGACTTTCGTAAGCTAAGAGCGGAACTTTTATTACATCCAGTGAACGTACGCTCCACTACATTCGGTTTTAGACCAAAACAGCGCAATACCGAGTTTTTTAAAAAACTCGGTACAACTCTGTACTCGGTATTGTGCTTTTTTTGCCTAGATCCGAACGTAGAGGAGCGTACGTTCACTGGATAAAATAAAAGTTCCTAAGAGCGAGAGATTTTATGCCTTATCACTATTATTCTCAAAGATGTTTCTTGTCAACGAAGAAAATTTAGAATGAAACTCAAATTACAAAGGCAATTAACGAAAAAAATAGGCCTTTAAATGTTAGCATTTTATCTCTATTTATGTTGTGCTTAATAAAATTTGGACTATTATATATTTTTTTTTTCTATTTTAGGATTAAATTTCAAAAAAGTCCCCTGACTATTCACATATGATCATTAAGTATCCATGTATAAAATTATTCTAAGTCTCTCAGCAATACAAAATTGATATAAAATAATGCATTTAGGACTTTGGGATAAATTTGGTTATGTTTAAAGACTAAATTAAAATAAATTTTATATCACAGTTAAAATATGAGAAACTAATTTGGAACAATTTTAAATGATTAAGATATTAAATTGAAAAAAAATGATATTTTGGGACTAAAGTGATCATGCACGAAGGACCATTTTGAATTTATTTCCTACTACAACTATTGAAGAAATCCATCTCCAAGATTCTCATTCTAAATCCGTCATGTTTATTGGCAAAAAAAAATTTGTGAATTTTGATAAACACAACTAAAATTTTTTATTAAAAAGAAGTTATGATTATGCATAGCATGCCGTGCAAACTTAAGTGCTGCAAGGCTTAAATTAATATTCATATGACTACAGAAGCTTTGTAAGTTAGGAGATGCATGGTGAAATAAGAACCAGCAATGTCTAATGCAATTTATCCATGTTTAACAGTTTGAAATTATCTACTATTACCGAATAATTAGGAACCACTGGTACTGTAATCTAAATTAAAATCTCTTCCTGATACAAACTCTAATCGTTGGAAACAAACACAACGTCGGAAAATTAAAAGAAACAACTCAAAAACACCAAATCTTCACTTCACCTTAAACACCAACAATTACGTACAATTCATAACACAAATGCGCTCAATAAAAAAAGCATAGAAAATATCAACTTAAAGTTCTAATTTAAAGAACTAACGATTCACTCTGCAGCCTCTTCCTAGTCTTTGATAGCCCATTTGAATATCAAGAGAGTGCTAAACGCTACCGCAAAAACGGGAACAGAACCACCGTAGGAAGTGAAGGCGGCGCTGGACGCCGGCGAGGGACCAGGTGACCCTGGAAACGGTGGGCGGTGAGAAGCCATGACGTCGATCATAAGCCTCTGACCCTTCTTGCAATGTTCAAAGTTGCTGCTAACGAAGTAGAAAAGGCCTGGCTTGTCGAAGAGGAAGACGGTTCTTCCGTCCTTGAAAACGGCCCCATTGCCGCTCTCGTTGCAGTGATAGTAGCCTCTTTTCTCCACCCGAATCACAGAGTCGTTTTTGTACTCGAACACTGATGATCGAATACAGATTTGATTGGATAAAATCAAGTGCACGGATCGCTTTTATATGAAAAAAAGATAATTAATCTCTTACCAATTGAGTCGCCGACTTGGAATCGGAGTTTGCTAGCCCAATTTGTGTACAAGTCCGTGTTATTGTCGTCTGGAACTCGCCACCCCTCCTCGCCACCAACCTTGTACTGGTTTTCGGCTTTGACGAATAAGACGCTGAAGGAGGAAATGAGGAGGAAGATGAAGACGTGGATGGAGAGAGACATCTCTTGTTTTTCGATTGGGATAGTTGGAAAGAGAAGGGATGGGAGTTACGAGAAAGTGTCTGATTTTTCTCTGGGGTTGGGGGAATGAAGTAACGGGGGTGACTAGAAAATGAGAAGAGTTTAATGAGTTGGTTATAGGAAGCAGTCGAGGCGGTTCTGGGTTGCGAAGAGATGCGGAGATCATGCAGTTGTGATCCTTCGTAAGTGGAGCCGTTCCGAGTTTTGATTTCTTTTTTTTTTTTTGGTTTTTTGAAACTGTTCGAATTTGAAAGGAAACGAAAAATTTTATGGGACAAATTTTTAAACTAAATCTAATATATAATTAATTTATTTGATTAGGCATTAAAAAATTAGAATAGTCAAGTCATCCATTTAAGGGGGAACTGGCTTTTTGCCTGGTAAAAAAGACAAGTCAGCACAACTGACTTGGTCGCTCACATGATAGCGTATAAGCCGCCCCTTAAACAAGCAACTTTGGCTTACGTATAAGTCGTCCGTTTGTGCATGACTGGTGATTTGTGCATAATTTTTTTATTTTTTAAATATTTAAATATTTTGTTGTTGTTGTGTGCTATGTAAGATAGTCATGTCTGCCAATTATAATTTTCTAAAGCAATTGATGATAAGAAAATTGATATTTTTTGTCAGTTTGTGTAATTTAAACTGATCATTCAATAGTACTGATATGTCATCAAAAAATTATCTTGATCGGGCTTGAATCTCGATGCAAAATTAAGTTGGAAACTTCTGAAATTAAAATTAGGACCATCTGAACTCCAATTTTAGCAAACTTATAGTCGAACTGAGCATCTCGAGAATACGAACGCAACAACACCAAATCCAACCCAATCCAAGCCTAAACGGGTCCAAATCAAGGGTTAGAAACGATGTTGGAAGGTTCGAACCACAATTTGACTTACCAATCGGTTTCCAAACATAACATGCTTATTGTCGAATCGAGCGGCTCGACGAGACGAATCCAACGAGGCCAAGATCCCTGAATTTCGACATTACTAAGATATTCAAATGTCCATCAAATGGTCGATGATCAAGGAATTCAACATCGGTCGTCCATCCAACCACTCCTATTTATCCTTGATCTCTCACCTATTTACGGGCCATGCTACTCAAGAAATCAATAAATAGACCCCTCATTTCTCTTGAAAAGAGGAACCCAAGCAAAAAGAGGAGAAGAGAAGAGAATGAAGAAGAGAAGGAAAAGAAGGAAAAAGCTCCTCCTCTACAACCGCTTGAGTACCGCCAGATCACCGCCTGACGTCGTTGCACCACCGGACCACCATCTGAGGCCCTCACCTTCAACGGACCACCATATGAGGCCCTCACCTTTGTCGAACCACCACTTGAGGCCATCACCTTCGTCGGACTACCACTTGAGGGCCTCAACTTTACCGGAGCACCACTTTAGGCCCTTACTCCCGACGAACCACCACTTGAGGCCCTCACCTCCACTAGACCACCACTTGAGGCTGTCACCTCCACCGGACCAGCACTTGAGGCCCTCACCTCCGCTAGACCTCCACTTAAAGCCCTGAGCTGTTAAGAGAGTTGCTACTTAGCTTTTGCATGTTTTATATTTCTTGCAACTTGTATAGTTTTGATGATTCCAAATACTATTGTTCTAATTATTATTTTCTCCTAACATTTTTTTTTTTTTGGAAGAATTATTTTTGTTCGTGTGTGGACTAACATTTCAGGATAATCAAACTCCGGACTAACGAAGACTTCGAATCAAATTCAGCATAAAATAGTTTGTAAATTGAAGTCTGTATTTTTTCAATTTATTGAGTTTGAGAGAGTATGATTGTAATTAAGTAACTTAGCACACACACACTTGGGAAGATATTTAAAAATCAACAATATTCTTATACTGATCGTACGGGATGAATCATGTTCGTACGGGACGATCATGTCAGTTATACTCCTCGGAGAGCAATGGAATGAACACGAAGTAAGAAAAATTTTCTAAGTCCTAATCATCCAGACGAATTTTCCTATTAATCCCTGGATGATGTCCTCTGGATTCTCACTTTGAACTATTCGTCCAGACGAAGTATATCATTCGTCCCTGGACGATGTCCTCTAGATTCTCACTTTGAACTGTTTGTCCATACGAAGTATACCATTCGTCCCTAGATGATGTCTTATGGATTCTTACTTTGAACTGTTCGTCCAGACGAAGTATACCATTCATCCCTGAACGATGTCCTCTGGATTCTCAATTTGTCCTGGTCATTCAGACGAATTTTCCTATTCATCCCTTGACGATGTCCTCTGGATTCTCACTTTGAACTGTTCGTCTAGACAAAGTATACCATTCATCGCAGGATGATGTACTCTGGATCCTTGAATTGAACAGATAATCCAGTCGATTAACCCTATGCGTCCCAGGACGAAGTCCTCTGGACACATGACTTGAACTACCGTCCAGACGAATTCCTATATTCATCCCAGGACGAAGTACTCTGTTCCTTGAAAATTTTGGATCGTCTTGCAGTTTCGTCCAAACGAACCCTTTATATAATTGTTCGTACAAGACAAACTTAGTTCATATGGGATGATGATCGGGTACGATGTTATTTGTACCAATATAGATTGGGTTCATATGAAATAGTTTTTACACTATTTTACAAGACGAAATCACGATCGTACGGGACGATCGAGAGCATACAAAATTGAAAATTAGTAGTTTTGGATAGTTTTTTCATGTCTTTCCTATATAAGTTTCACTTAAAACTGTCTTATAATCTTTTTGGTCTTTGGTCTTCGTGCTTACTAAAAGAAGTGTGAATGAGAGAGTGAGAGAGAGTGTTTGAAGGAGAGTTCTTACCATTGGAGCGTGAAGGATTCACTTAGTACTCAAAGGTAAGGATCTCAAGTTTGTGAATTGTGATTACTTTACTCTTTTCTCTTGTCCTTTTAGATTTCTTTTGAGAAAATCTTTCAAGGAGATCTAGTTCTCTGCTGACACTTGGTGAAGTGTGAAAAGATGGAAGGTTCTCTTCCTACACTTAAAGAGTGTGAATAGTGGGAAAGTTCTCTGCCTACACTTGGAGAGTGTGAAAAGCGGGAAGGTTCTCTGCCTACACTTGGAGAGTGTGAACAACGGGAGGTACTCTGCCAACACTTGGAGGGTGTAAAAGGATTAAGGTTGTCTGCTGCACCGGATAGTGGTGGAAGAGAGTTTTGTGAAGGCTTCTCCGCCTTATTGTGGGGGCAAAAGGAGAGACACTATTGGTATTAGTGTAATACTCGAAGGTTGCCTCCGGGGAGTAGATGTAGGTCATGTTTTATCAAACCACTATAAATCTTGTGTCTTTTTATTTTTCACTGCTTTTTTTTAACTTACTTTTTTTGTTGATCTGTGGTTAAAAAATCTTTTTTACAAAAAAAAATCATTAAAGTTTTTATCGGTTTAAAATTTAAAGAGCAAATTTTTTTAATTACCAATTAACCCCTCCTCTTAGTTAGCCGCTAGGATATAAGCTTAAGAATAACAACCTAATTCATATTGAACAAGTTTCAACAAGTGGTATCAGAGCTTTGTTTCAAAATCATAAGTTTAGACTATTTTTTTTTTATTAACATACATGGCTATATTTGGAAACTGAAATACACATGATGGGATTTCAGGCTGTGACAGCCTCTCAAACACAGAAATCCTCCCACGATGAGTTTCAGTAGTAAGTCGTTGTACTGGCAGATGTACACGACCAGTAGGAGCTCCGGTAGTTCTTGCAACAACTGCAGGAAAATCAACACTACCAAATTGGATGGTAGCACCAGTGTTTTCAGTCTCTATGACAGCATTAGCCAGTTGGATTATGGCTCCTTGTCCCAGTTGGACGGTCATCGGGGTGTTCTGTAGATCCATCTGTATAAATGAAAGGCAAGGGTTAGTAATCAGAATCTGATACATCACCCCGCACTTTTAAAATGCAGAGACTTGTACAGAACACAAAATAAAAGAAGATATCATTAGAAAGCAATTCAAATAATATAAATTTAAAATACTGCTAAATACATATGAAATCGCTGAATGATCATTGTGACAGACTCAAAATTATGAGTATGGGTTGATACGACTGCTACTATATCTTATGAATGACTAGCTAGAGATGGAAAGAGAAACCAATCCCCAGCGGAGTCGCCAGAAATCTGTGGGCTCCAAAAATTCAGCCCCGGCCTCCGCTCGCTTTTTCCTTTTTATTCGGCGAGGGAGTTTTAACTGAATAAGTTTCGAGGTAAATTTTGGAAGGCAGATGGGTTTGTAGATAAGACACAACCCAGAGATTTCGCCCTCATTTTGCGAGGACTTTATTATCTAAGTTCTGGTTTCCTATAGGCGCAAGCCCCTATATTTAATTACCCCTCCCGGTAACGAGAGAGAACTTTTGATTAAGGCTAGTCATCTGGTATATAGTAGCAACAATGGTTTGGATATTGGAAAACTAGATTTGGATTTGGGCATATTTTATATTTAAAATAGGATATTGCACCATCTAGCACTTAAAGCGGATGGTGGGGGAATGGATGATGGACCCGATCAAGATCCCATGGTTCCGTCATCCTGGGCCATCATGGTCCCTGGTCTACTTAGTCAGAGGAGGTAGTCGACCCAACCTGATAGAAGGATCCTTGTTAGCAGCCATGGGTTGCTTTGTCCAAGGGGACCTTGTAGACCTGGGTTGGATGTTTGTCTAAGTGGACAAATTTGAATCAACCTTAGCTTACAGAGGGCTTTGTGCCTTATCGATCATATCCTATTGATTCATATCTCAAGGATTTAACGCCATTAAGGAGCGTATTGGCTCTGGCCATAACCGCTGTCTGTAGTGCCATTTGGCGACAAAACCACTCGGTTCAGAGGGCCCCGGGTCATAACCGTTTACCTGCAGTGCCATTTGGCGGTGAAACTGCCGGTTAGAGGACACGTACCACGTCCTTCCTGGCAAGAGATTATTTGAGAATGGATCCTAGTG